ACACATGCAATGAGTATCGTGGCTATTCTTAGTGCTCATTGGAGTTGGTGAGTAGTGGTTGTGGTGGTACGAGATGGGGTGTGGACGAGTGGGGGGAGGGAGTGAGAGGTGGTGGGGGGTGGAGGGGGGGTGCTACGTTATTTTTAACATAACAAAGGGGGGGTTAGAACTAATTTTTTTCGTTTTGGAGTGGGGGTACTGTCTAAGTTTTTGCTAGATAACTCTAGTTTTTCAGCCCCCCCTCCTGGTAATTATTGCACAGTCCCTTACTTTTAGAAAGACGTTGTGACGTCGTTTCTAGTTTCCAATAACCCCAGAGTATTGTGAACATAAATTATTGCTCGTTAAAAACGAGTTCAGAAATAAAAACGCGTCATGAATTGATTAAAAATGTGAGGTTTCGTATAGTTCATCGAATAGTGTTGGTTTAAGATTTATCTTTAAAACTAAATATCAACACGAACTGAAAGAGCAGTTCAAAAATTTTTTAATTTTTTTTTAATTTTCAGGCGAAAATTAGAAGGATTTGTATGGAAAAACAAGTCTCCACCAAGTCACGCTTGAGTGGTTTTCCATACAAATCCTTGTTAATTTCCAATTTTTTCAAACTGTCGGAACACTTTTCTTTAAGCATTACGGGTATCCAATCTCCTTTTTATTCGTAACAGGTAATTTGAGCTTTTAAATGCGAAAAGGAAAGAGCTTACGATAGTTGAGAAATTTTAAAATTTACAAGGATTTTTACCGAAAACCACTGAAGCGTGACAGGTTGACAAGAGCTGTTTTTCTCATACAAATCCTTCTAATTTTCGGCGGCCCTTGTAAACGCTACTTTTGAGCTATATTGCTGAAAATTAACAGGCTACCTAATTTTAATATTTTCTTTCAGTTCCTGCTAACAAAATTTCCCAAAAGCGAACTACTTTCTTGTTTACAGAAAGTTGACCACCTGATCAACTATTGCATAAGGCCTATTGATTAACTCAAAAAATAGTTAAAAAATATCCACTGAATAACTGCTCTTCCTTTATTTTACTTCATGTATAGTTTCTCCTTTGTATCTCATCTATTTAGGTGTTAAGGCGTGGTCCTTCTCCTCTGAAGTATCTCAAAGATAGCATTCGGAAGTATATAAGCTGTGTACAAAACGCCTTGAGTGATCCAGATTGTGATGAAATTCTGCGAGCTCCAGCGAAACAGGACAGTATGCTGAGTAAGCAGAATGTTGAGCAGGAGGTTCGGCATTATCATCATTCCTTCAAAGTATTTTAATTATAAATATAATGCTGTTAAGTCTAACAAGCATCTTAGGTCAATTGCAGTAGGGTACAGAATTGATCGAAATAAGAAACAGATGATCAGGGAAATAGAGAATTTAAAATGCAAGGGAAGTGCGTGAAAAGCTAGGTAATGCCTTAATGCCTAGTAAATAACGACCGTAATAAAAACAGAAAATAAAAAATATATGCCATTTGAGGCGGTTTCCTTTGCAAGCTAGTTTTTCTTTGTCCATACCAGGTAAATGAAGCATCCTGGCAATTTGTATCGACTATTGTTATAAAATATGTCATTGTCTAACTTTAGCTATTATTAGGGCGTTTGAGACTAGAACCTAACGAAATACACACAATCCTCCAACACGCAACAACCTGGTGGGCGTTGTCTCATTGAAATAGAGAGAAGTCGTTACGTCACGTTGCCATGGTAGCAACATTTCTGGATGACAACAAACCGAAAACTTTATTTGAAAAGGGAATTCGCTCTGTTGCAAACTTCATCGATCTTATTCAGTTTCATTTAATTTGTCAAATGGTGGCGAAATTTTCTTGGGTTGAATCCGAAAGGACCGTATCTAAGTTTGAAAAAGAAAAAGAACATTTTTTGTGTTCGTATTGTGTTCATGTACTCCATGAAGAGGGCGCATGAGACTAACAAGTTTCATGTCGCAGTCGTGCAACGACGGCTCAGAAATGTACAAAAAAGTGTGGTGCCCGGCAAAGTTGTTGTTTTGCTAAAATAAACCTATATCTTTTTTGTCATTCTCGTTGCCGTTGCCCTTGCTGTCGTCGTTGTCTAAGCTCGCTATTTTTGTGATCCAAAAGTTTTGCTACCTTGGTAACGTGACGTCACACTTCTCTCTATATGAATAACAAGTTAAAAAAATGAAAAAGAGTATGAGAAAATGACTTACACGTATGTAGATCAGACCGTATGTTAAGTTAGTGGCCACTTATGGCACGTTGAAAACAATGGAAAAAAAACTATTCAAAAACTATCACCAAAAGAATGGACGTGGCGATCGCTCAGCAAGAAGTTCCAGTTATACACCCCAGTTATTGTACTTTCAGTGGGAAAACTGTCTGCTTTAGAGAGGAAGTTGGTTAGTCGCTTACGAGAGATGGTGGTCGTTACTGTTGTTTCGAATTTAGTAACTATTCATCTAAGATCCTGTAAGTTACCTTTCTAACCTTTGCCTTGCATTTTAAATTTTCTATCTTTCATTCAAGCGATGTCCAGCAGGCTCATTTTCATCTGCTTTCATCATAGGGTTAACGTATCTTTATTAGTGCCCTCTCGTTTTTCTCACTTTCAGCTTCCCTAATCTGATCAGGGGATATCCGAAATGCTTTAACACCACTCCGCAACATCTTTCGTAGCAACTAGGTAACACTGACAGTACTATTTAAAGTTAGGTCTTGTAAGGTTTTTAGTGATGATAATAGCAATTCTTTCCCCCGCAGGTTTCCTAGTTTTTAGGCAGCTCTATGACACTGTCAAACTATTAATCACGGATCTGTTCTTCTCTATTGATTCCCTCCATTTGCATAAATGTTTGATACCAAATACGTTCTTCTTGTATACTAAACAATTTGTTACCTATATCATATGCTTATGGATCATACACTACTTTAATTTGTTATTATCTGAAGGCGAAAGTGTCAAAATACATTTTGAAAAGACAGTTTTTGATCGCTGAAACTTTATCAAAAGATTTAAAAGCGCGGCGGCATTATTTTCAAAAATGGGGGTACTACAAATCTAGTTCTATCCAGGAAATCGCGCATGCAATTACCCAAATCGAGTGGGTCTTCCAGCGTCGCATCAATCTAATTCATAGGTTTTTGGCGGGACACCACGCCGCGCGCGTGTAAGAGGTACTCCATAGCTAAAAAATTTAGCTATCTTTCCATTCAAGAAATTTTGGTAGTCACGTGACCGTACTTCCGCCAGTCCGTCCGTCCGTCCGTCCGTCCGCAGAACAGGAAAGTGAATGTGAAATGTCACACTTTCTAGTTAGTATGGGAGCCGGAAACCTGATATTGCACATTCAAATTGTGATCAATTGACACCTGTCAAAACAGGGCATCGGCTGACCAGTATCACAAGACCGTATCGCGGGCTCAACTGTCGACCCATCGAGCTTACGTGCTTCTTTTAAAGTTCTCCGCTTATAAGTCCCTACTTTTCAACTGATCTTAGGCTAAAGTCCAAGTCGATTTCTTTGCAATAGTTACAAGCTTGTTGTTTGAGATAAATGATAAATTAATTAATGAGAAGCTTAGCCTCAGCTAAATCTAGATATAAATTGCATATGATTCTATTGATCGTCTGATCATATTTCTGAACGACTCAATCGGGCAATCGAGACAATCCAGACGATTGTAGAGAAGAGCAGGCTTAAAGCGTCAGGTACAGGTGGGGAATTTAATGTAGTTTCGCCTTGCCTCTGAGAGATGAAAGCGAGGGGTGGAGACCCTAAAGGTATGGAAAGAGAGAGAAGCTAGAAGAGAAAATGCACATTAAAAACGGTGTTGTCTGAAAATGAATATCATAACATTAACAACACTTACAATGTTTTTAAAAGTGATTTTATTAAATGTCTTGTTTTGGGATCCTCTAATACAGGGGCACCCAACGGGAAATTTTGAGAAAAAGACCTAAAATAAAAAAACAAAGCGTGAATAAAGCTGCCAGCAAGGTGCCCCCACAACCTGCAGCCTGACTCACTGGGAAGTTTGGGTGTGGTCGTACGGCCCAATTCAGCCCTTCAGTGGTGGGTGGTTCCCGACTCGTCCCCAGTCGTCTCTAAGTTGTCTCTACTCATTTTCTATTTACTAAGGAAACGCTTAGGGTATGCACGTGGAGAAGATGGGAAGACGAGAGGAGGGAAGACGTCGTCTCTCCCTTCTCTCTTCTTTCTTTCCGTCACCCCCTTCGTTAAAGAACCCGCTCTAGTCTTCCACGCCAAATACTAATAATGAGAGACGACTGGGGACGAGTCAGGGGTGATTATTTTTCCCAAATCTCCGAGCCAGCACAAATTTGCGTGAAGAACAGATCATTTGAGGAATAGATCCATTGGGTGCCCTTGCTAATAACCCAACTTGTCTGCCTTCTGTTGTATTTTAATACAAATTGATTTGGACAAGTTATTCAGTGCCTTTTATACTTGTGCATAGTGAGTGAGGTGCAATACATTTGGGCCACTTTGTGGCTTTCTTTGCCTTCCTACTTGATTATTGTATTCATAAAGTGTTTAAAACGTTTTAGAAATGTTGAAGTATCTAGGTAGAGCGAGATCGAGAAAAAATTATCGAGAAAATTTTTTTTCAGCCCTTAGGGCCTCAGTTTGGTCTAAATATAAGGGGAGGGGTGCGGGCCCCCCGAGCCCCTCCCCCGGATCCGCCACTGAGTAGTATGTTCAAGTATCTCACTCCATCGGTTTGCATGAAGATCGGTCACATAACCCAAGGAGAAACACTCACTTGACTTAACATATCTACATGATTATTTCGTGATCCGCCAGACTGATCCCGGAATGGAGGATTCATAACCTCATCGCAATCTTTCTCGTTCTTGTTCTTCACACAGGCAATGTACTTGTTGATACTCTCCTCTAGGTAACTAAGAGGTGACGGACCTTGGCGTAGGATCTAAGCAACAAAGAACAAAGGCATTTTAGTTGATTCAATGGAAATAAACTGCGGAATGAATCCTTATACGAAACATCTAGGGATCTTACCATATAAGTTTTGAGAAAACTTCCTTAATGCTGGAAAATGATATTGTCATGGTCTAATTTTCTGTAGCCTCTTTACTAATCATTTGGTCGTACTTTAGTGAAAATAACTTCAACTTTTACGTGAATAAGCAAGTTTTATTGAGTTCTTGCAATAGATGAAACCATTGACAAACCAATAAAATCGTTTAAATGTTTTTTTTTTCCAAACGTTAATTAGCGACATAGTAGACTATAGCCTCAACGACGTTTAAGTGTTTTCCCATGCTTTCCCCGGCGCTGACTGGTCCCCTCGCCAAGAAAAGAGAATAATTCGGGTACTACAATACTACTACAGCCTTATTATTATGAGAAGCAAGCTTAGAGTATCATTTACAATCTGACCTAACTTGCTCGACCATAAATTACCTGATAATGAAAATCTTTGATGTTAAATTTTTCCTTAAGAGCCTCCTGTGCTCTCTTTTTTAGTCGAATAATAAACAACTGTCCAAGCATATAAGTGACAGCTTGTCCAGGAAGGCTCTGGTAACGAGTCACCTCCTTTGAAGCCACGTCACTTGTATCCCATGCGTACTCTTCAAACATCTGCAATGCCCAGGCACGTGACTTGCCCTTGTAATGAAGGCCTGTGTCCATCATCAGGCGTAACGCTCTCCAAACCTGTAAAAATATTTATCTCTGTAACTTTAGATCATATATTTCGAAAGTTCTGGATTCCTTTCCCGCCTACCTCTTTCTCTTTGAGTAACCTTAACTGTTTTTTTTAATCTTTTATGCTCAGCAGTCGAGTTGATTTCAAAATCAACCAGGAATAAATCGTAATACATATTTTAAGCTTGTCAGGTGCTTTTTTCAGTTAGTATAGGTAATAGCATGATTTGTAGTGATATTTGGCATAAATACCAGGAGGGATATTTCGAAATTGTTATACGTAATTTCACAAGCCGTTAGGCGAGTGAAACTTGAGACAATTTTGAAATATCACGGGTAGTATTTATGCCAAATATCACGCATGTCATTATTTGTTTATACTATTACCTACGAGAGGTTTGTAATTTTCACATGTAGGTATTCAAATTAAGCTGAAATACCACTGCTCTAAGTCGATCAAATTGCAGAAATTTCTCATGTAGTAGTATAAAATATTTAAATCCCTGGTTCCACTGGAATTTGATCCAAATATGCAGAAACTGGTACTTCCTCGCTTTCTAATTTTGGAAAAAAATACAAGATATTATCCGGTGTTAGTGAAAATGTACTACCGTACTATTAAAGGAGACAGATTAATTTTTAACAAAATTCATGGATAGTATAGCTCATTTCTGAGGTGATATGGACGACAATATGTAACAAACTAGAAAAAAAGTCATGTCGACCCTAAAATGGGGTAAAACGTAAAGCAAACAAACAGTCATTTCGCATGAATATGAGTACTGACTATTTATACCTGCCATTTTAACATCCCATATTTGCTTATTGGATCAGCTTCGTACAATTTGGTATAATCAGGGACAATTGGATTTTCTGAGTAAAGTGCCCAGCCCTCTGAAAATGACAGGTAAATTGTGCTGGAAGCGATCCAGCTTATGGGTCCTTCACATGGCTCTATAAAGTTTTCGATGTAGCCCTGCACCTGTGATTAAAAACACAACAACAGCAACAACAGTTATTGTTTCTTATTGTAAAAACACGACTTGAAGGCAAACTTTTTCTTGTCTTGGTCTTGGTATCGTCATTTTATAATAGTTAAGCAGGAGCCCATAACAAGTAAGTTCTATGCGCTTTTGTCACGACGTTTTCACGGACCACATTATTTTTAGAACGGTTTTAGCGCGAATTTTGAATATCTTTTAAATTCCACGAACCAGTCAGCAGAACGTACAGACCTAAAAATGATATTTTTTGCCTTTTAATAACGTTTAGTTTTCCTTTTTGATATGATATACTTCGCATGCGCTCACAGTCATGATGGAAATTCTATTTTCGGGGGAAAAAGTGCCCTAGAATGTGCCTAAAAATAAACTGGTCCGTAAAAGCGCCGTGACATAGGCCTAGTATGGGAGTTGCTCGCTCCGGGTTATGGGCTGCTGAGTTAAGAAAGCAAGCATAGAGATATTTCAGAAAACAAATTGCTCACTGTATGTCATAGAAAAGTATGTACTCCGAGTCCGCTGATCGTGTCTTTGGGAAAAATATGTCAAAAATGAAAAATCTGATAAAACAGTTAATTTGAAACTGCAAACACATCTGCGTTATTTCGTTCCCAGGGCTTTAAAGGGAAAGCCCTTAGATCGAGGTTGACGTCCTACTTATAAATTGGTGATAGGAGAGTCTCAGCACTGACCTGAGTATGGTGCCCAGGCCTTGCTTCGTGCGCCGCCAGTGAGACCGTTTCATACTTAGGTCCAGGCTTATCTAAAAAGAATGGCATATAATAGGCAGCTACTTTGGAGCATTTGGCATCCGAGGAACGGTACAAGGGCACTGCACTGGCTGGATTGAAGTCGATAGCAATTTTAACTGGACAGCTTGGAGTGGACTTGTAAGGTCCGGTATAATAAAACAGGCCTGCTATTTCGTAATGTAGAGTGGCTAGAATCTGAAAAAATTTTATAAAAAAGCCAATAAAATAGGTTAATTTTACATATCTCTTTAAATGTTTTGTATACTACTCTTTTTATGCCTCCACATTTCCAGAGTCAGCAGAGATCTCCGAGCCCTGCAGTCAAGACATGACTACAGAGTGGGAGGTCGCTGGTTCGATTCCTGAGGCTGGGTCGCAAAATAGGGGATCACGGTGGTCCCATCCTCAGTAGGAGAAGTAAAAATAGTGCCCTCAAGTAGTGATTAAGGAGTAATTTAATTCTAAATACAGTGGCACTGATATAAATTCTTTTTTTAATAGAACAGAGTGAAAACACATAATTATGTAGCATACAAATTGATTTCTACTTGCTTACATCTTTAGCGTGGGATTGCCATTTTTTCATCGCCGCGGTCCTTTTAGGACAATACATTTGTGAGCCCTTTAAGTCACCGCACATTTTGTGTGCGTTAGCGTCAGATTCATTTGCCGGTATGATTCCATCGTTGTAGAACTGGTTGGCACTGTTGATCAGTGTCTTAAACTTCTGTTTTGCTGTGTTCTCATCACTTTCCTTGGTGATATTCTTGGCTAAGTCTACGACCTGTTTAAAGAATTAGAGATGTCAGCAAGCGCTTTCATAATTCATAAGGGGTTTGGTTTTGTCAACTGTGAGTTGATAAGGTAGATTAGCCACCGCACAAGGATTGGAAACCTTATGGTTCGAGAACTGTTTTTATGCTGTATTGGTTTCATTACCTTATACATAATTACTAAAAACGTTTTTAAAAAAAAAGGAAGAAAGAAACAATGAGAATAAAAGAAAAAACAAATTTAGACCCAAAGTGGTAAGCAGGAACGAGACCTCAAGGACCCATGTAAGGGTCCGCCCGAATAGATAATTAAAAGAAAAAAGGCTATAAATTACACAATTTTACACTGACCTAGCCACTAGCCTGACTGGTAAACATTTGTGTGCGCCGGGGTCAAAAGAAAGGTGGAGGAAAGAAGATAACAAAGCTTGTGTGACAAGCATGACAATAATTATGTTTGAAAAAAATTCCCGCCAAAATTTACTTTCATCTTAAGCGATCATTTTTCAATGAACCGGAGCGTAGTATTGTTAAGTGAAGATAAAGCTTGTCACACACAAACATTTTGCTGTAGTCTGCCGTCCTGTTTTGTAAGCTCACTACTGTCGCGAAGGGTATTCCGAGTTACGGGAGTCAATCAAAACGCGCGTAAATTACTATTCACTATTTTGGTAAATACTAAATAAACCTTGGAAAAAACCTGACGCCGGTGCTAGACGTACCTCGGAATACAGCTTATTGAGCATTTCCTCACCAAGCTTGTAAATCTCATCCGGCGTTTCAGAAGTGGTGGTAAAATGCTGAAGTAATTTTATATAGGAGTCCTTTCCGTTCAGTGTCTCCCCCGTGGGAAGTTTTCCAGTGGTCACTGTACCGGTTTGTCTTCCATTAACGTAAACGTAACTTAGCGGCAAGCTACCAAATCCTGTGGAGACGGTGTCCGGTGCACAGTTCTGTAGGTGATCTCCCTCTATGTACCTACAAAGACGATTCATTAGCTTGGCGCAAGTAATCTTGTTAAAGATCTAGGTCTCTTTAATACGTATTTGTAATATTAGAAATGACAGAACTATAAGAACTAGGAGTGGCCTTTAAACCAATCAGTCCCCTCATTACTATTGATGAAGTGTTTCAAATGAGAGGCTGTTACAATACTCTTAAATCTTTGAACTACCTACTCTTAATCAACAGTAAGAAAATTATGTTTACATTGTTAATAGGCCACTTGCACTAAGAGGTCACGTGACCAATGCTTCCTTTAAACAATGAGTTGGAATCTTACTGATGCCAAAAATCGACAGAGCACATAAAAATTATCTTACACCCGAAATTTGAGAGGAAACGCATTTAAGGGAGATATTTTATGGCACTTTGATTTTTCAACAAAGTAGTATGATTTGTATTGGCCGCCATGTTGGAGGGCATACTCTTGCCCTCCAACATGGCGGCCAAAACTACTTTTTGCTTATATCTTGTTAAACATTTGATAGTTACCCTCAAATGTGCTGCAAATGTTACCACATCATGTTTTCAACATTTTTCTTGAAGTTTAAGTGCAAAATTTGTGTTCAGAAAGAGGCAATTCATTATTTTAAAAATCACATTTAGGTCACGTGACCAGATACGAACTTACTTATTTTAAGAAAATGCTGTGGGTTTGAAAAACCAAATCACTATTATTTTGTTTAAGGTATGACCCTCTAATCGTTTTCCGAAGGCAAAATCATATAACTTTCATTTTCATGAAAACCATGTCACTTGACCTCTTAGTGCAAATGGCCTATTAAACGAAGTAAGAGAGTTCCTGAGAGGTGAATTTTTCTACTTTGGAGGTGTTTTGCATTATCCATTGATAGCAGTCTTTCCAAAAGGCTAAAAGCTCCAAAACAAGTGAACCAGGTTTTCCGTTGCTTCTTCATAGAAGGTGCAGGAATCATGTTTACAGTACAAAACTTATATGCACAGAAACTGCTGCTATATCTAGTGCTGGCGGCTTTTCCTTCCAACGAACACTCAGTATTTTTTTTCGTATAGGTGCCATCTATCTTTGATCTTAAAAGCAGAGGAAGACTGGTGAGGAAAGTGAAAAGGGCAGTAGTCCAGTGTTCAAGTACTCGAAAAGGAAATAAGTCAAATTACTGATAACAATTTTTTTTTACAAAAAATACACGAGGCCGCTTACCGTCTGAATTATCCTCGTTTTATCAAATCTGCTGCGGGTACCGTCAAGCCTTATTTTGGTTATGGATTAGCTCATGGATCAAGGAATGCGCGCGTTTCGTATACTAAGCCATGGCCACCGTAAGTACGTAAAAGTTAAAGGGAACAGGCCACTTGCACTAAGAGGTCACGTGACCAATGCTTCCTTTAAATAATGGGTTGGAATTTAGGCTGCTGTTGCCAAAAATTAGCAAAGCACATAAAAATTATCTTACAACCGAAATTTGAGAGGAAAAGCTTTTAAGGTAGATATTTTATGGCACTTTGATTTTTCAACAAAGTAATTTGTTTTGTATTGGCCGCCATGTTGGTGGACATACTCTTGCCCTCCAACATGGCGGCCAAAACTACTTTTTGCTTAAACCTTGTTGAACTCTTGATAGTTACGTTCAGATGTGCTGTAAACATTACCACATCATTTTTTCAACTTTTTCCTTGAAGTTTAAGTGCAAAATTTGTGTTCAGAAAGAGGTAATTATCACATTTGGTCACGTGACCAGCTACGAACTTACTTTTTTAAAGAAAATGTTGCGGGTTTGAAAAACCAAATCACTTTTATGTTGTTTAGGATATGCCCCGCTAATCGTTTTTCGAAGACAAAGCAAAATCATATAACATTCATTTGCATAAAAACGATGTCACATGACGCCTTAGTGCAAATGACCTAGTATTCTAGAGAAGCACTGTTGGCACATCAGGCTAAGCGGTCTTTTAAAGATCGATTGTAAGTCTTTCATAAACTTGAAAACTAAATTTGTGCCATTCAAAGTGCGAGCACTCCCTTTCATCCCCTTCTCTGCCTTCCTGTGAATCGTCCACAACAACCCGCCCCTGCACCCCAAAGAAAAGTTGCACCGCACTACAGGCTCCATGGACCTTTGGAAATGACTTTACCAAACTGGCCTGAAGATACTAGTTAATAAACACCTTACCTGAGCATATCATCAATTGGTTTGCCAACATAATCCAGAATGAATTCATAAAGGGACTCGTTGACAGACTTTTGATACTTTGCTTGCCAGTCCTTGTTATCCTTTATGTCTGAGATAAAGCTTTCATCGAGCAACGGCTTTAAGAAGCTTGCTTTATAGATTCCTATATAAATGTAAAGACGAAGGCGTATGACTTCTAAAATTTAGATTTATTAACTGAGTTTATTGAAATTGTTATCATTTGTTTTACTTTTGAGCTTCTTAATACTACTAAGCTACCTAACTGACCTAAATGCACTATTGAAAGCTATTGAACTTAATTATTTCTCCTCAATGATCTTTGCTGTTGTGCGTCAGACATTGGAAGACAAAAAGATCCCGCTGTCTTGCGTATTAATATTAACGAGCTAAAAAATGTATCAATGCAAAAGCTCGAGTCACAACAATGAAGTCCTAGTCTCAGGTCACGCAGGCATGACTTCAAAATAGCAACACAATCACAAACTCGCTCTAAATCATGACAAAAACGGTGCAAATAGGAAAAAGACGGCGGCTTTTGGCTGCATGATGACTACGTTATGTACACTTAAAAAGCGGCGGCTTAGATATGATAATGATAGTTGTTTAATTTTCAATGTTTTGTTTTTGTGTGTGTGTGCGTGTGGAAATCAATGTGCGTGACCACACAATTGTTATTCCTGTAATAAAGCTTTTTATTTTGGCAACTGAGTTATGTTGCAGTTCAAAATAAAAAACTTGGGTTAAAATGCTTTCAACCTGTTTGATTCTTAATTACACGGGAATGAGTAATAACCGTTTTTATGCTAGAGACGTTAAAGTCGTCTGAAGACGGCCTTAACGTCTAGTATAAAAACGGTAAATAAGACAAACGCATTTAACGTCTGACGACTTCAACGTCTTCTGTTAGCGTTTGAACGACGCACTTAACAAAGGACGTTAACGTCTCAGACGTTAAATGCGTCTAGACGACTTTAACGTCTCTAGCATAAAAACTTCAATTTCCTAGTCTGTAGGTCTTCTATCTTTGATCATTCAAAGATAACTTTATGTGTGATTAGGGTATTAGAGACAAAGAAAATTGATAGTCAAACTACTCTGAAACTATGAAAAACATAGTTTTAGCGTAGGGTTTCAAGTACAGTATTTAATTTTGATAACACTCAAAGAAATGAACTTTTTAAACTTTTAATTAAAAAAGTCTTTACCTTTTGGACCGTTATTGGCGACATTCCTGAATTTATCTTTGAAAGCGTCCAATGCAGCGTTGCATTCTGTTATTGTGCGAACCATGCCAGCGGATACACCTAACTTCATGTTCTCCACAAACCGATCAAAAGTATGTTTTATTTCTTTGAGTTTGTCTTTAAGAATCTCCATTTCTCTGACTGTCGAGCTCTTGAAATGCCCTAAGGATGCTTTGATTTCATCAGGAACCAAACATATGGGACTCCAGCAAAATATATCTCCTCCCATCATCCAATCACCGACATAGTAGTTGTACAAGTAAGGTACCATGAACGGGAAGCCATGTTTGGTCCAGTGCAATATCTGGGACACAGCTCGCTTTTCTCGCAGCGTCAGTTTGTTCATGTCTATTTTCATATTTTCAAGATTTTTAGCGATCGTTAGGGCTTCATCTGTGATCCGTTTGATGTTTTCTGGTGATGGGTCGTAGGAGCGGTATTTGGTACGAACCTCATCCGGTTTAACCCCCGGCTTGAGTGCGATCTTATGAGGATTAAGCTCATAATATTTCGCCTGTGCTTTCTGCAAGAAATCTTCAAGTTTGACTCTTTTGGCCTCTTCTGAATATTGACACTGATCTGGTTTAGCCTGTGATTCCGCTTTTCGTGGTTCGCAGTCGTCACGTTTTTTATCTTGAACTATAAGGGCTATTCCAACAGAAAGACAGATTAACGCGACAATTCCGACTATTGTAACGAAGATACAACACTGGCGTATCTTATTTTGCCGACGAAGGAGCACATAATCCGACCCCATACTTGTTGATCGACTGCTATTACTGGCAGATTCCTTTATGTAGTCACCTAGTCATGACTCGGCATTATGAGTACTTAAAAGACTTACTGAAGCAAAACGCTTAATGTTTGTTTTGAAAGACAAAAGAGGAAAACAAAAAACGAACAAAAATTGCGTTTTTTGCATATTTTCCGAACTTTGGATGTATTAATAGTCCATTTTCGAGTTCGCTATGACCGCTGAATTAAAGAAGTGAAGACGCATTTTTTACAGCCTTAGCCTCAATCTGAAGTAATATATTCACAAATTCCAACGAGAAAAAGACCTGTTTATTACTCTGTCTATTGTATATATTCAAATTTCAAACACTTACTTGCCAGAATTTCTGAATATTTTACTTTACGTCGAGGCTAACCCTGTATAAATGTGTCGGTAATGTTTATATTCAGCGGTAATTNAGTCACCTAGTCATGACTCGGCATTATGAGTACTTAAAAGACTTACTGAAGCAAAACGCTTAATGTTTGTTTTGAAAGACAAAAGAGGAAAACAAAAAACGAACAAAAATTGCGTTTTTTGCATATTTTCCGAACTTTGGATGTATTAATAGTCCATTTTCGAGTTCGCTATGACCGCTGAATTAAAGAAGTGAAGACGCATTTTTTACAGCCTTAGCCTCAATCTGAAGTAATATATTCACAAATTCCAACGAGAAAAAGACCTGTTTATTACTCTGTCTATTGTATATATTCAAATTTCAAACACTTACTTGCCAGAATTTCTGAATATTTTACTTTACGTCGAGGCTAACCCTGTATAAATGTGTCGGTAATGTTTATATTCAGCGGTAATTTTTAATTCGAAACTGGACTATTCAGTGTTCCGCTATTTGTTTTGCGATTAGTACAAAGTTAACAGTTGTGCTTTCGACTCTACGACTCTGGCCTTAGTTGTTCAAGTGATGGATATAGTGTCTGCTGATATTCACTGGATAAATCTCTAATCAGTGGATAGCGAAATTGGTTTCCCTAATACTTATCCGCTGTGTAGTGATTTATCCTGTGAGTATGGCGCTATCCAGCTTTTGAGTAACCGGGCCTGGAGTTAAGGTTTTCGAAAGAATTTTCACGAGATTGCTTTTTACTTAATAGACACCATATCAATAACAAGTCATTAATCACGTTTGTAAAGAGTCTGTGGTCCAGGATTGTGAAGATCGTTAATTTTGCGTAAACGTTGCTTCAATTTGCTAAAATCCATCCAAACATACATGTAGATAAGTAAAACATGCCTTTTCAGTTCAATCACGCTATGGTAGAGGCAAATGTAGAAGAATGAGGACTCAAAACAAGGGAGCAGACCACAACACTTCAACATTTATTGCTCTAAAACATACTTATAATAAAATACAACAACAAAAGCTTGGGACGGCTCAATCATATTATGGTACAAAATATAGGCTTTATTATTCTTCGCACCAGTGCTGTTTTGTTTACAAAAGGAAAAAGAAAAGAATAAAAAAATCTGCACTTTGAAACTAACCTAGACACGCTTTATACGGATCTATAACCGAACACCAACCGTCTAAGTAAAGTTTAAAAGGTGGCAAACATATTTCATACACCTATACAACTTCATACACGAAGTAGCTATGGGCTTTTCCTACTACGTGTAAGAAGCACCTATCCATACTTGTCTTGTATTGTGGCTCAGGCCTCTCTCCAACCCAACACTCGCCATAGAATTTGAATCCAAAGACTTTGTAGTGGGTATTTTTTACTATCTCATAGCAGTCTTCAACTAGTTCATCTATCGCGGTCCATTTCATACTTGAACGAAAATTTTTCTCTAGAACTGGTAGAAGACGTCTCCGAGGACTTTCTCTGTAGCAGCCTAACGATCGGTATTTCTTCCGCACTGAAACAAAATTTAAAGGGCATATTAAAAATCGTACAAAGAGCTAGAAAAAAGCTATAAATTTTTCACCATTCAGTCCTAAACTAAGTGACCAATTATAATCGCTTTTTGATTGCTGGAAAATTTTAGCGATGCTAGAATAGTGAGCGTAGTGAAAAACGCCAAAGAACAGCTTTGCGTTTTAGGGAAGTGTCTGTCTTATGGGGGTGTTTGGTACGTTGCCGTGAGAGATACGGTAAAAGAACTACATGGTAATGTTGCACTTAAACAAACATAGCTGAANTTTTGTTTACAAAAGGAAAAAGAAAAGAATAAAAAAATCTGCACTTTGAAACTAACCTAGACACGCTTTATACGGATCTATAACGGAACACCAACCGTCTAAGTAAAGTTTAAAAGGTGGCAAACATATTTCATACACCTATACAACTTCATACACGAAGTAGCTATGGGCTTTTCCTACTACGTGTAAGAAGCACCTATCCATACTTGTCTTGTATTGTGGCTCAGGCCTCTCTCCAACCCAACACTCGCCATAGAATTTGAATCCAAAGACTTTGTAGTGGGTATTTTTTACTATCTCATAGCAGTCTTCAACTAGTTCATCTATCGCGGTCCATTTCATACTTGAACGAAAATTTTTCTCTAGAACTGGTAGAAGACGTCTCCGAGGACTTTCTCTGTAGCAGCCTAACGATCGGTATTTCTTCCGCACTGAAACAAAATTTAAAGGGCATATTAAAAATCGTACAAAGAGCTAGAAAAAAGCTATAAATTTTTCACCATTCAGTCCTAAACTAAGTGACCAATTATAATCGCTTTTTGATTGCTGGAAAATTTTAGCGATCTAGAATAGTGAGCGTAGTGAAAAACGCCAAAGAACAGCTTTGCGTTTTAGGGAAGTGTCTGTCTTATGGGGGTGTTTGGTACGTCGCCGTGAGAGATACGGTAAAAGAACTACATGGTAATGTTGTACTTAAACAAACATAGCTGAAAGCAACAACATTTAAAAGAGAATGCAAAACTACTTTTATCTTTCTCTTATGGTTTAAATTTTATTTTCCTCTATTTGTGTGTGTGCTAATGTATGATAATGAAATCAAAACAATGGGAAATAAAATTTGAACCAAGAATAAAATTGAACCACAACATTACACACCGTCCATATCAATAATAACAGCAAGCCGGCAAATTAGAGCATCCGCTTGATATGTGTTACATGACCGTATCGTGGGCTCAGATGCACTACACAAATAGTTTCCTTGGGTTTTCAAGTCGGCAACTTTTTCATTGGAACATGGGTTCAAGTTTTTAATTTTTTGTCCGAGGTAATTATTTTGAATTTATTGGTTGAAAGTCTGTTGAATGTCAAGTATTTTCCCGAAGCTCCGCTTTTAGTCTTGTCTAACTATGTACTAAATGATTACCCAAACAGCTCTGAGTATTGCAAAATCTGGTTTGAAATCTTGGTCCCAGGCTGGTGCAGTCCTTTCCTCCATTAGCTGGTGCAGGATTGTTACACAGTCTCGTTCGAAATTGGAATCCCACGTCACACGTTCTTGAACAAACACTGTAGGGTGTCCAGTTGGAGTAACCACCATCCACTGTTTATGTAGAATTGAACTAAAGTAATTATTCTAGCCAATCACATAAAAGACAGATGGCTAATTCAAATAACCACTATCTTGTGGTACTACTTTGGGGCGCAAGGGGTAGCGCAGTGGTGAGAACGCTGGCCTCCGAACAATGTGGCCCTGGTTCAAATTCCGGTGTCGACGCCACATGTGGGTTGAGTTTGTTGTTGGTTCTCTCCTATGCTCCGAAAGGTTTTTCTCCGGGTACTCCGGTTTTCCCCTTTCCTCAAAAACCATCATTTCCAAATTCCAATTCGACCCGTAAGCAGTCAGGTAGACAAAGAACCAGTTTGTGGATGTGCCTCTTCCAAATCATTAATTATTATCTATTTTATTTATTATTTACTATTGGGCGCGGTAGGTCACGATGGGTTTAGAATGACTTCTGATTGGCGGAGAGAAAGACACAAGGTACTGTAGTAAGAGAGAAGAACTGTTAACTTAAGTTTATCAAATTTTAGTGATTGGTCTACTTTTATCAATGCGGATATCTGTTTTATGAAACAGGCAGTAATTTTTTGGGATCTTTTTCCCTCACAATTTAAAATTCAACTGTAAAAGTTATGGTCTGTGGCCAGAAACAATGATGACGTGATATGAAAGATAGTAATAGTGGAAAATATGTTCAGTTTCCATTTTATTTTTTGAGAGAGATCTGGTGCATAGAGAGAGAGATCTGGTGCATAGCCCTCACCATTTGTTTTCTCTAATTTTTCACTCACAAATCGATTGAGTTGTTGTATAAGGACATTGGTTGAGTCTTTTTCTTTTAGAAAAACCTATTTCAGTATTGATTAGTTTGTTTAAGATAATATATTTTCCCTACAAGGGACCCTTTGGGCGCTTAACCGACTTTACTTCAACAGACCTAAGTGAGTGACAGATAAATGTTTCAATTATTTTTATTTTCTTTCATTTTAGGCAATTAAAGACGATAAGTATTAATAAAGATATAGGCTTTACAATATTTATGACCAACCATTAAATTTCAAAGAAGGGAAACTTGGCTTAGTAACAACTTGATTCAGTAGCTACTGTCTAGTATGTTTTATTCAGCATTGTTCTAACAGAAAGTTATGAAATAAATTACGTTTACATTGAAAAAATAAGTCTAGTTAGTAACTATTAATTTTAGCACTTTTAATTCGTTAATGTTTGTTTCCTTTTATTACCTGGAAGTGATTCAGTTGAAAGTGGTTAACAGAAAAACTGTTTAGCACTTTACAGACTCTGTAAGAGCATTTACGAAAAAATCCGAACGGTGGCGATGATCACTACTGACCAAACGACGATCTTAGAGATTAAAGAGACCATCCGCACGATGCCGTCCTGATTAACTTTGTTCCGGGGATGTTAGCAAAGAAATACCAAAAAGTCAAGAGACTATAAAGGGGACAGAGAGGCCATCCCCCATATACACCCTATTCCATAGGTAATTCGTCTCGAGTTATTTTTAGAATCGGGATAAAG